AATAATCATTAAATAATAATATATAAATTTATCTAATTATGATTAATTTGAAAATATATGAATTAATCATTAATTATTAATTAATTAAATTAATAAAATTAAATTTAAATAAAAATAAATTAAAACCATAAACCCATCTCACCTTTACCCTCTCCTCCGAGGCCTCCTCCCGTGCCTAAAACCCTCCCTATGCTTCCCTCCCCTGCCAGTTTCGTCCAAAATCGTGGCCTTCGTGAATGAACCCTCGCAATACAATCACGATTAAAGCAAGCTGGGAAGGCAAAAAACAGGATATCGGCGCACAGTGACCATCGAAACTTCCATCTCTCTCTTCCTCCACCCCGTTCCTATCAGAAACCATTGAGGAAGGTAAGCCTGTTTGCGTCATTCTTCCTTTTTATCGAACGAAACTAAGGCAACAAAGGCGTTCTGACGAAGCAAAGATCAAAGGCGAGGAAGGGGCTTCAGCTCTATTGTGTGTGAATCAAATATAAGTTCTCAACTTACACGTAGGAGGATCGAGTAGCTAGGCTTGTGAATCATGTGACATAAGGAGGAACAAGAGTTTCGTAGGCTTCTGTATGTTGAGATCCACTCGTTAATTTTCCTGAACGAACGCGAGACGCGGGGTGCGATCCATGGCCCATGCTATACCATATTCGCATTCGGCACAAGCGTAACGTGCACCAAACAACAGAAAGTCGCGGCCCCCTAGTCGCGACACTCTCATGCCACGGTCTCGAATGGACTCTTAGCCAACCTGCCTCGTCTCCAATGTCCCCGCCATTTTTCTAACGCCCGAAGAATTAAATTATGTGATATTAATCCCAATGTTTGCAATTCCCACAACTTACCTACATAGCAACAAAAAATAATAATAAAATATTAAAAAAATAAAAAGCTTCAAACCTTGATATTTTTGAACGACAAAATTGATCTCACACGAAAATAAGGGGGTAACTAATACACCAACTAATCTTCACCATCTGACACGAATCTCGAGATAATCTTTTGAGCAAGAAATATTTAAGCATCGATAAAAAATCATCAAGTGTTTTGATTTCAACAAACTTATAATCAAACTGCCCGACTCAACAAGAGGACCTAATGATACCTACTTTGATCCAATCTGAACTAAATTGAGCCCAGATCAAGCCATTAAAGCATGTTTGGATGTTTGTCGGACACATTTGGGAGGTCAAATATATGTTGTATTCGACAAGCTTATAATCGAATCAAGCATCTTGGCGAGACAAATTCAATGATCCCAAGGTTGTTAATTATGACATCATTAAGACACTCAAATGTTCATCAAACATCATATGATCGAGGTAATCCCTCTGAACTGTCCAATCAAAGCGGTTCATATGCCCTCATTTATTGCCACCGGGTGTCTATAAAAAGAGCTCTAGGGGGTGGGGGGCGCTTGAAACATTGAGAAGGAGCAGAAATCCAACACCACTCATGTTGCTGTCGACCTCCACTGACCACTGTAAACCCCACTTGTCGGCCACCACTGATCATCATTGGTCGTCGTCCATTCCTCGCAACAAGTTCATCCGCATGCTGACGTTGTAATTTAGAAGATTTCGTAACGTTTTTCCGCTCGTGGACAAGAGATCTTTGTAATAATCAAATTATAGTGGAATTTTACAATTGAGTCAGACCCCATAGTTTTTGTCTTTTACGGGTTTTCCATGAAAAAACTTCTAGTGTTAATTTTGGTTATTTTCTTTTATCTGAATGTGTGATGAATTCTCATGCAACACTAAGATGATAATAAATTACTCTACCATTATGAATTTTCTAGCAAACATCCTTTCTTAAAAATAATATCATTCTAAAAATTTTGAAAGTTTTTTCGGTTATCATAATTAAAAATTAGAACATAGCATCTATTCCATGATGCAAGGTTAAGGGTTATTTTTAAGTATTTCCTTAATTCATCATAGCACTATATTTTGGGAGGTAGAGGAGAGTAAACTTTTGTCTACAAGTAAAAAGGCTTTAGAATAATTTTAGGCGTAAAATAATGAGAATACTTCATGTGATCAAATGAACCAAGTTTGTATTCCACAATTTATCTTATTTTTAAGTTGTATCATTAAAACAATCAAAGTAAGGAAACATCAACTTTAAGGTTATAAAAATTTAGTAGTAGGTACACATTTAACTCTAATAGTCTATACCACTTTAGAGTATGCTTCTTTTGTTAGTGTGGTATCTCAAAATTCAATTTTGGAGCCATCTTAGCGAAATGAGATTATACCATATTGAGCCTTTCGGCATTGTAAGGCTTAGAGATAAGCATAAATTCAAAGGAAAATAAAACAAAAATCGTATAAAGGGTATAGAATTTATATGTAAGAAGACATTCAAGTTTGATGGCTTGATTTAGTATGTAATAGTTATTTTATTGAGGTCTATCACAAGCATTAAATTTAGATGATACTTTGGAATGGGCAGATTGTACGATACTGCTCTTAGAAGTTTCTTGCCCAAGCCTAGGGAAGTGATTGACAACTTTATTTTTTTATACCTTTCCTATCAATATTCTTAATATCAAATTCTTATAGCAAGAAGACCCATCATATCAAACGGAATTTGTCATCCATATTAGTCACAAGATATTTGATAGCGACGTGGTCAGTGTAGACTTTTACTTTTGTACCAATCATGTAGAATCTAAAATTTTCAAATGTATATACTATCATTGGTAGCTCTTTCTCGGTAATGATATAATTCACTTGGGTCTCATTCAGTGTCTTATTGACATAGTAAATTACATGAAAAATCTTATTTTACATTTGGCCTAATACCACCCCTACTATGTAGTCACTAGCATCACACATCAACTCAAACAAAAGATCTCAATTAGGTGCAATAATGATATGTATCACGATTGACTTATTTTTCATGATTTCAAAGGCAGGAGGCAATGCTCATCAAAATTGAAGGCCACATTCATTTCTAACAAATGACACATATTTAAAAATTTTAGAGAAGTCCTTAATATATATGCCCCAAAAGCTTCTAATTCTTTTAATAAACATAAGCAGGGATAGTTTTTTTATCACTTGATTTATTGTTGGATCTACCTCTATCCCTTTCTCCAAAACCTTATACCCTAACACGATACCCTCAGTTACCATGAATTGACACTTCTCCTAGTTGATTAACATTAAGTTGGTATCCTCACAACTTCGTAACATTATTGTAAAATTGTCAAGAAATGAATAGTAAGATGAGCTAAACAACAAGAAATCATCAATAAAAATTTCAATCACATTTTCAATCAGGTCAGAAAAAATGAACATCTTGAAAAGCTGAAAAGTGACTGGTGTATTGCATAGTTTGAAGGGTAGAGACTAGTGAAGCTGGATTTGTTCTGGTCCTCTGATGCTATAGAAATTTGGTGATATCTTCAGTAACCATCTTAGAAGCAAAAGAATGGTGTCCTGTCAATCAGTCTAACATCTGGTCAAGAAAAATGGAAAAAGAACGTTTATAGCGGCTTTGTTGAGCTTTCTATAGTTAATGCAAGGTTCTCCAGCCCGTGACATTTCTGGTGGGTATCAACTCATTATTTTCATTTTGCTTTACTATCACTCCACATTTTTAGGAACATAGTGAATCGGGCTAACTCAGACACTATCTGAGATGGGGTAAATAATACTTATATTAAACCACTTCAAAATTTCTTTCTTAACCAACCTTTCATTAGGTTCAACATTCTCTAAGTGCCAGTCTTGGGTTCATGTCGTCCCTTCATCAAAACTCTATGCAAGCATAAGAAAAGACTTATTCCTTTGATATCCACAATATTCCACCCAAAGACTTTCCTAAAGGTCTTCAACAACCTCATCAGCTTTGCATAACTAAAATTTAAATTTAGCTTATTTTAGTTTAACCCAAACTAAATTGAAATAATGAAGCCAAATTGTTGTTTGGTTTGATTTGGCTTTGCGTTATGTTTGAACAATCTGACTCATATTCTTATACATTCAAAGCCATTTGATTTTACAAATCTATTGTCCAAACCTACCAAATGCACATCCCATGTGATCAATGCCTTTAAAAGAAGGTTTTGCTATTGAAGATAACTAAAAAAGACATCTACATGACCAATGGCTGAATATTCTAATCTGCTCGTGAGACGATGAGTTGAACCTAAAGAAACAGACTCCATATATTAGATATACGAGCTTGAGCTATTGTTTGTCCATCTAAAAAAAATGTTATATTTGTGAATCACACCACACCTTACATCTGACAACACATATTGACATGTACAACCTATTTTGTCTAACACAAGTCTAATTTCTTGACTTAAGGGCACCCAACCCATTTAAGGGTCCGTTCGGGAGGGCGGGGCCGCACCGCACTACAGTTTTGTCTGTTTAGGTAAACTACGTTTTGACAATTTTTTCAAAAACTGCAACTGAAATTTATATTTTTCCACCCGTTCTAACTAGGTACAGTAACAACTTTCGAGTTACGGCAGTTTTGTCTGTTTAGGTAAACTACGTTTTGACAACTTTTTCAAAAACTGCAACTGAAATTTGTATTTTTCCACCCGTTCTGACTAGGTACAGTAACAACTTTCGAGTTACGATTATACTTTTTTCTTTTAAATAATTATAATCATCACTACAACATTTTCAACATCAAATTTCTAAAAGATCCACATCTACTTCCTTTTTTTTCTTTTTTAATTTTTTTCAATAAGCTCCAACCCTTGATATGCGTTTCTAACTTCCCCACCTTCCAAATGATCGGTCCACCTCAATCTCCGCGCACCATCTCCTCACCTCCCCCGTCAAAACCCATCTCCTCTCCCAATTCGATTCGCATCCCTCTCCCCCCCCCCTCTGGCAGGGCCCCGCCACGCCGGCGGCCGGATTCCATCTCCGCAGCCGGTCATTTCATCGGTAAGCAATTGGCAAACGCGCAGCAGCTCGCCCTTGATACCTCCCCGACCGCCGGCGATGACGTGACGTTTCGGAGAAGAGTGATAACTGTTGCCTGCTGATGTACTTGGCAAATGAGGGCAATGTTGGTGGGATGGAGGAGCTTATTGAGGGTGGAGTGGATGTCAATTACAGGGATATCGATGATCGAACGGCGCTCCATGTAGCGGCTTGCCAGGGGCAGGTCGCGGTGGCGGAGTTGCTCCTCAGGAGCGGAGCTCAAGTAGATCCCAAGGATCGTTGGGGAAGTACGGTAGGTAACATTTCTCTTTCGTTTTGTTTTCTGTAACCTGGTTTCTCCCTCGATTACTGCTTCTTCTTCTTCTTCTTCAATTTATACGTCTCATTTATTAGATAAATTGTGTTTGTAAGAATCGGTTGAGTGATCAGTCGTTTGGTTGGCTAACAGTTGGAACCTTGGGCGTGATTTAGAGGACTGTGCTATATTGAGGGCATTGAAGTTGCAGTGTCTTAGCGCTCATTTGATCGAAATTATGTTTTCCAAAATGATAATTTTGTTTTATTTGTGAAATTGAACCTTTTAAGGCTGTTGATTCTTGCCTATGGAGTCACACATCGAGGGTAGAGCTGGCTAGAAAGGAGGAAATGACTAGAGAAGAAGAGTAGAGGCTTAAGCTTTCCTGAAACTCTGAGTAACGGTTCGACGGAAAATTTTGTGTACATTAACTCTTTCCTCTTATATAGCAGTGCTTTATCGATAAAATATACATTGGTTTTGATCATACTCAGATCTCTTGGGATCTCTAGCTGCTAGAATTTGTCATTTACAACCTCAGGCTTATACTTTTTTTATACCTTTAGTGTATTTTTTTGTGCTGACGCCGTAATTGATCTTCTATGCTCTGCCACTTCATCAGGTTAAACCTTGGCCTGCTTTGACTCTTGTTGGTCCATCATGGCTACTTTTGGTCATATAATTGAGGAGAATTTAAAATCAATTTTGGTGTCTGATTCCATCATACTAAATGAGGAGTTTAGAAAATCTAACCATCGTTTAAGACATGTTATCTAACGTCAAGTAATCAAATTAGCCCTTATTGAGGTCCAAGAAGTTTTTAGTAGAATGGATGATGTGATTTCGTAAATTCCATATGAATTTTGATGAAATTTTCTGATTGAAAGCACTCAAAATATGAACTAAATACTTCATAAATTAATTTTGTGATTTTTTTGGACTTTGGTTTTTGGGTGCTTACAGAAAGAAATCACCTTTTTGTCGAGACAATTTCAGTGGCACCAAGAATGTTCAAAATTGAATCCAAAGGAACACGAATGGCCGACCGAAGCTAGTTTTCCCTACTCATGTCAACTATTTTCTTTTTCTTCTTTCTCCTTCTCCTATATGAAGCATTCATATATGGTTGCGGCTGACCACCTTAGCTGCCAATTCATCCACTTTAAGGGGAGGGGACAATAGACTAGTCCTCTAGCAGATTCTTATCGTTACCACTTTCTTGAATCATGATGAAATGCTTTGAATCTTGTCTAATCTTATGCCTTTTATTACCCAAGTTTCTAAGACCTTTATAGGCGATCAATTTGAGAGCCATCTGTGAAATTGAACCAGTCTCAAAAAGATGAACATTTCATCTAAAAATGACAGTTTTATGTCACCATTTAATTGTTACCTTATTTTTCTAGTTATTGTTACCCAAAATTCATTTCATTTTTCTTTGAAATAATTGTAAGTCATTGGATTATTCTTAGTGAGATGAACTTTTTTAAACCAATATAGATTTTTATTTATCCTCATTGTTCTTCATTGATGAAAAAATTTAGCTCTATGCCTTCAAATTATTTTGGGTGATCCAAATTTAGATCCACCAACTTTATTGGATTTGTGGTTTTGAAAACTTCAAAATGGTATCACCTACTTGTCATTTAGAGACCCTCACACAATGCAGCCTTTTATCATCATTGTTCTCCAATGATGAAAAAGTTTAGCTCTATTCATGTGAATTATTTTGGATGATCCAAATTTATATCCATCAACTTTATTGGATTTGTGGCGTTGAGAACTTTAAAATGGTAACACCTACTTGTCATTCAAAGACCTTCACTGATAGCCAACATTGTTTCCTGCCGCCTTCAACTAATTGCTCATGCGAGCCAATTGAGTCGCTAATGGTGGAATCTTCTAGTCCCCCTTTTGGGTTGAGAGAGTGTAATTTAGAAAATTTAATTTAGTTGTCTAATTGGAAGATAACAACATTGAGAATGGCCCTGTGTACTAGTTGCCATTTGTAACACCAAACAATTATTTTTAGTTTTTTACTTGTGTAGATTTCTTTTATGCTATCATAGTTACTTGGTATTCCTTTTCATTAGGAGAAAAATTGTATTAACCACTTTTCATTGCTCGATTTCTATGTATATAGTTGTTTTTTGATTCACTCTTGTTGCTCACTGTTGAAATTAACATGTATTCTTTTGTCGATTGATGCATATCACTCGTCATTGATTGACACTTGTCCACTCATCAATCGAAGCTCACCCGTCATCGCCACCTTCCGTTGAGTAATGCCTATAGCTAACCTTTGACTAACATCTAATATGCTTGTTGTCAACCAATGTCTAACACCTCATCACCTGCTTGTAAAATCTGTCATCACCTATTGATTAATGTCTATTGTTGACTGTGCCTGCCTTTTATTGTCAATCCATGTTTTATGCTTACCTTGTATGACTTATGACAATTGGTGTCTCTTTTCATCTGATAATCTCTTGTTTGGTTCCCTTGCCCATCTTAACTAATGTTTAACTTTTGTTTTTGTCCAATTTCTAACACATGCTATCGTTCGTCCCTTACCATTAACCCTATCATCATCGAATTCCATTTATTACCCTTGAAGGAGATGTTCCCCATAGTTTTAAGTTTCTCTTATACTATAATCCCATCTTCTTCAATTTTAGAGAAGGGAAATGCTTTTTAATCTCTTACTTATACCAGTGGAATTGTTTTAATTGGGCTTGACTAATTGATATTTACCCTTCTGAGGATTTCACTTATTAAAAAAGCATGCATGTAGTGCATACCCTTCTGAGGATTTCACTTATTAAAAAAGCATGCATGTAGTGCATACACTATTTATAACTCTTTTATATTTGTGTAGAAATTTTATACAATACTAAGATGATAAATCTCACATTATCTCTTCTAAAATTCTAGCATGAAAAAGTTTACCTCGTTTGTGGGAACACATCTCGTTTTTTTTATTATAGAATGTTGATAATCTTCCTCTCAATAGCAAATAGGCACAACACTCATAACAACAGCGGAGAGTCCTGCTCCAATTCTTGCCACTTAAGAAGCCTCTTCTTAAAACAAGCCTATGCTCATGCTCTTCACCCAACTGACAAGAGGATGACGCTGTTCCGTTGAAGGCATGGAAAAATCTTAGGTTGAGGTCCTTCTTATGCGGGAACCTTGCCGATTAGAGATACTATGCCATAATTTTGGTTGGTCTCATTGTTACACCCAACTCAAAAAGCTCAACTATCCACTATTTTGCTTGTTCTCATGGTTACATCCTGACCCTTATTTAAAATCTTATAAGGCTGTTGAAACACTCAGGTTTGTTTTTCTGATGTTCCAAAGCAGTTTTTGCGCATAAACATTGATGGATTACTAAGGCCAAACGTTGAGAAAAAAGAAGTCTTCGTCATAGTATTTTGAATTATGTTCGTCATCCATCATTGGCCAACATTTGATTACTTTTTTCACCAAATTTCAAATGCTAGCTGTTGACTAGTGCTCATCGCTCATCGCCTGTTTCCTGTTGTCAACTAATGTTTGATGTCTACCTTCCCCCCAATTTTTTATTTTTATTGTTGCACACCAACAGATGCTTGCTGTCGCCTGCCTACTGCTACATATTGTCTAATGTCTGTCGCCAAGTGATGCTCATTTACTGTAATCAACTTTGACTTCCTCAAACTGCCTCTATAAAGAGCGGAAGAGACATTCTTACAACACAAGCTTGTTCACTATTCCTTCTCTCTCTAATTATATGGAAGGTGGACCTTTGCAACATTCAACTTAAACTAGTGAAATTATTTCAGTTGGGCTAGCCATCATAGCTTTTCCTTGTTTATATATAAACAAATTTGCATCTCTTTTGCATTGTATGACACTTTTTTGTTTTTATGCACCATAATAAATTTCTTTGCCACTCCGAATATTTTTGCACAGAACAAAAAGATAATTTAAAATAATCATCATCATCCCTGAATATTCAGGACTACTTGATGAATTCTCATTTTCATTTGTTACTGCGATGTGTTGCGTGAGCTATTATATCTATAACGTGCAAATTTCCTTTTCACATTATCTTAGTTCTATTAGATTTGCTTCCTAATCCATAGACATTAATTTTATCTGCACCTAAAATCTATCTTGTATTGTACACAACAAAATCTCTTAAGTTTATTTTTCATTTTCTTATCTTCAATATAGGCTACTTCTATTGTCATCTAATATAAAGCTACCTTATAATGAAAACGAGTATGAAGTTCCTTATTAGAAACTTTATCTGATTTAGCAAAATGTGAACTGTCAATCTAGTATTGGAAAGTTGTTTTACACGTAGTCTTGGTTTTGCAGTCAAGAAAAATTTGATTGCCTTTTCTTTGCAGTCTTACAAACAGAGATAAATCTGACTGTAATTTGGAGATGCATTTTAGTTAAATTTATCCTCTTGCTGCATCCTGAAATTAAATAAAGTTTTCTTTTAACGATGGATGCTAAATAATTTCCTTTTATATATATTTTCTTCCTTGTGTGAATAGCCCCTAGTGGATGCGATACACTACCACAACCATGATATGATCAAACTTTTGGAGAAATTTGGTGGTAGGCTTCAGGTAATATGTGTTATTTATTTATTTATTCGTTCTATTTTTTATCTATTTTTTACTCTATGTGCTTGTTCTGTTTTACAATTATCTGTATGCTCTCTCATTATTTTTCTTTATATACATATATATATAAAAATCT